ATATTATGAAATCTTATAATAAATAAATATAGATTTTGTTACCAATAAAAAAAGATTATATTTATTTTTATAAAACGTTTGTATATTTGAATATAAACATACATATGCACATTATGTATTATACTGCAACCTGTGGTTTATTGTGCGTATATGTACATACGTACTAATTTTTTCTCAACATTCCTTAATTAGATTTAGATTTTTACAACAGTTATAGATACTTTGGAAATGCATTAAAACATTTCATTAACACTCTTGCCGGAAAAAATGAGTTATATTAAAAAAAAAAAACCAATTTAGACCAGAAAATCGTATAGAAACGCTATTGGTCGCCGACAATGCCTAAAACTCTATCGGTGTTTATTCGTACGTATTATAAACATACACATGGATAAAATTCTGAATGTATGAACACGGGCACATACTTGTGTTATATAAACATCTTGTACGTACATACATATACATTAGCTGCCCAATGAAATGTACATACGTTTTTTTGTCAGTTGTATGCATAGGGCTAACGGATTCCACATATTTGGTTGTGACAGCGCATTAGGTCTGTCCAATTATGAATATTTTTGTAATTTTCATCTAAGTTAAAAAAATATATTCTTTTGTTGACCAAGTTTTGTATAAAACCTTTTTGCATATTCATTTTCAAAATATTCGTTACTAGGCGAAATTGTGAATTAATAATTAAAATTAAAAATTATAATGCCTTTAAACGTTCGTGTAGTATTTTACCTAAGTTATAGGGCAGGACTGCGCGACTATTCCCACTATGACTAGGTGCAGAATAAGCCAAGCAGATGAATTTTCAGACTATTATCGACGCACTCACTGCCGGCAAAGTTCGAAAAGCTCACTTCTTAATTCCCCATATTTGAAAAATTCAGTTATGTTCAAAAAATTAATTGTGCTAGTCACAAGATAACCTAACCTTAACCTTTTTTTAATAATTGCAACCATAAATAAATGTTTGAATTAAAAGGTTTGTCACCCTTATATGCATATATTCCGATATAATTTGAAAAAAAAAACAACATGTTTGACTGAAAGACTGTATATAAACAGATTTATACATTATTGATTTTCAAAACCGTTTCAAAAATATTTGTTCCACCTAACATCAACAAGAAAACAAATGTACTACTGTTGTGAGAATAAAATACTACGCACGACTTATTCTTTAAAAACATTGAAGTTGTAAGTAGGAATATACTCTTGTCAGATTTTTCTCTCGGCGTGTCAAAATATTTCACATATTAACGGCAATGTAGCAGTAAAGTTCTAAAGTCAAAAAGGTAGGTTAAGATATTATGAATTGATTAAAATATTTTAATTTTAAACTAAAATATGCAAGGGTGCAAACTACAGTTAAGTTCAAAATAATAAGTTCACTTCATTTTGTTTAATCATTTTACGTTTGGACCAATATGTACAGTAAAAAATTGTGCACAAGCTTGAAAATTAATATATCATGTACATACATACATATGTATGTGTATGATTACTAGGCGTCGATAGTATACATTCRAAGAAAATTTTCTCACTGAATTCCATTATCAATATCTTTACATATGTGGTGTCATACCTAAAGGATAATATTTACGCAAAGATTTATTCCAAACATTGGTGACTGATTTCTTACCTAACTTTGTATAAGAGTGAACGTGATTTTATCCGATTTCACTATTTTCATCAAATGCCAGTTATTTATTATAGCAGTTCGTGATTTTCTTTTTAGTTATAACACTTTTCATTTTTCTGTAAATGCCATTTTGTGGTCGTAGCAACGGTTCAAATATACCATTGCAATATAAACTTTCCAAAATATTCTAATATTCAGTGAAGTTATCGTTTGAATGAATCGACATATGGACATACATACATATATCTGAATGGTTCTTACAAACGGAACTCTGTGAAACATGTTACTAGACTACAGATCTTAAATTTTTGTATACATGTGTAAATTCAATCGAGTACAATAGTTTGCTCCACATCTTATTTTACTTATTTATAATTTTCATATACATTAGTCGTCTTAGAAGGAATTCATAATTCTCTAAACTAATTTCGTAACAACTTAGTTCAAATATTTGTATTGTTTTGTTCATATATTTGAACAATGTATACCCTAATGAGCTGCTGCTCTACGCAAAAATGTATCTGATTGCAAAACCCAAACCATTGGTACGGATAAATTTTAACCTAACGGATAACTGATTTAAGCACCACCAATCAGCTAGTCGGAATATAAATACATATGTGTGTGCTAATGAGTTCGTCGGCGTTTCATTTGTCAAAAACACATATGCGGATCTAAAGTTATTTTAAGATCAAGTTTTAAGACTCTTTGATGGTGAATGACGAATAAAAGTCCAGATCTATTTAGAAGGTCATTATTTATACAATAAAATAATAGAGTTCCTATAACCGCGAATTTGTACCGACTCTGAATATTTGTGAATTAAACAAATAGAATAAAACACACGTTCCAAAAAGCTCAAAAATCGAATAGTTTGTTTAAATAATCCATTACTAATTAATAAATAAATAAATGATAAAAAATAATAAACTTTTGACACAATACCATACACCGAGTCCAGCACCACAAAAGTTGCGGACAGAAATTTCTTGGGATATTAATGACGTGATTATTCCAATTGTTAACGAATTTGATGAATTTGATGAGTGGGTTGATGGCCATCGCCGTCTAGTTTATTCGGCGTCTAATGAAGATGCGAAAAAACATTCATCAGGCTGGGCCATGCGTAACACAAACAATCATAATATCAACATATTAAAAAAGAGTTGTCTGGGAGTACTTTATTGTTCGGCTAAATGCAAACTGGCAAATGGTAGAAATATAAATTTACGTCCAGCAATTTGTGATAAAGCCCGTCGTAAACAGCAGGGTAGACAATGCCCTAATCGGTAAATATTTTTATTTACTTATTATTTATATATCTTGATTAAATATTTTATCTTATATATCTATAATAATGTCAAATTTAGTTAATTTTGAAATTTGCGATAACCAGTAAGTAATAAAAATCAAGCTAACATTTTTAATTTAAATGCGCTATTTATGAAACGACCTATATATTGATCACAACAAAATTAAGCACGATTAGCTTTATACCACTGTATTAGATCCAAAATTTAAAAATTGCACTAACTGCAAAAACTATGTATTAAAAGATAATATTTTTACAGCGTTTTTTCAATATTCTTGTATAAATAAAATAAATGCCTATGTATATCTAGGAGTTTCATCTAATCTACCTGTTGTTGCTGTAAGCTCACAAAACGTACAAATCTATTAACCTAATGCTTAAGTCGACATTTTTCATGGTTGTTTTGTGAAATAAGTTATTGGAATATGGAGACAATTTTTTCCTGTGCCTTTGTGTGAAAAATGAGCTCAATCAATTGATGATCTTTCTATACATAATTTAAGGGGTTTCGAACTTCCAGTTAACTTTATACAATATATGTATATCGGCCAATTTGTGAGGTATCTTAATGAAACTCAGAGATCGTCATTATACCAAAAATGTTTAAAATCGAATTAATATCAGCTCTAGCCTTCATATTCATATATGAGTTTCAAACCTGCGGTTCGCTTTATTTTTTATATATTTTATATCGGCTAATGTGTTAAATATCATAACGAAATTATGTGCATATATTACATTGGATAAATTGTAGTTTAATTAAATGTCATAATTTTCATTATTCTAACAAACTTGTGTGCTGAATATGTTGGCCAGTGCGTGAGCTATTTTCACTGGTTGCTGTTTTTCTCACACATAAATATGTATGTACATATATATACATATTTAAATCACATTATATACATCTATCTCATTTGATGTTGACGATAATAATTACATGTTGATTGAAATATAAATGTATATATATGTAGTAATGAAACTCATTGAGTCTATGACCTTTGATATAAATTAATAACATACAATATGGATTTAAAAGCTCACGATTTGTCGAAAAATGAATGTTAAATTTGTACGCGACATGTTTAATACAAACTTTTTTAACAATTGAAATTGCTTTCCAGCAGGTTATCTTTGCAAATCAGTATAAAATACTTTTTTACACTCGAAGGAAAAATATTTCACCGACTTTTATCCTTACAAATTATAAAGGTATTAAATGTTTGGTGACGCCCGAATTTAGAGCTTTCTTATTTCATAAATATCAAGTTTTTCCTGTGCACACTTGTTTTGCAAAAAAGAGAGAATCATAACACTAGCATGCAAGTGCTGCCCGTTTATTTAAGCATCTGGTAAATTTTGTTAGATTCGCTGCATAGTAACACTTGGCGAATCGAAGATAGCTAATATTGTTGCATGTATTTATAAAGTAACGTCCAGTCCTCTCTGGGAATATCCTGCATCTATAAAAAAAAAAAAAAAAAAAAAAAAAAAAAAAAAAAAAAAAAAAAAAAAAAAAAAAAAAAAAAAAAAAAAAAAAAAAAAAAAAAAAAAAAAACGGATTGTAACGTGATAAATTCTTCATTTGCTATTTTATAATTTTTCATATACAACCTTTATTGTCGGCAAATAGTTTTCGCTCTCCCTTCTTGATATGAATGATTCCAAAGTCAAATTTAAATTTTCGACATTAATTATTACCTAATTTACAATAACCGTCTGTGCAGAGGTAGAGTCTCCGGTTTTCGAAGGTAGCTTATAAATAATATATTCGAACCCCAAAATGAAAGCTTACTTCAAACATCATTATTTGATAAAGCATTTAAGTGAAATCGCAGCCAGGGAGTTGTTTAAAATGAAATAGCATAAGGCATTCAATGGTCGTAAAGTCATCTAAAACCCGCAGTGGCGGATTAAGTACTTTGCCTCCTAGTCCCTGTCTGATTAGCCGCCCTTGTTAAAGGATGAAATTTTATTTCTTTGAGTCCGTTCATATTATTAAGATATAATATTTATTTCATAAAAGTATAATTGTTAAACAATACAAATAAATATTAACAACATAAATAACAGTCGGCTTTCTTAAACTGTAATGTAAAACTTAATTTCTAAATTTCTTCCTTCTGGCTTTTTTCTGAGTAAAATCATAAATTATGTCGTTGTAATCAATTTTTTGAACTAGTTGGGTTTCAATAGACAGTAGTGCTAAAGCATTGAGTCTCTCTTGGCCCATACTTGCGCGTAAATACGTTTTGACTCTTTTTAAGGTGCAAAAAGATCTGTCTCCTGAATAGTTCGTAGCCGGAATACTCAAAAAAAATACGTAGAGCAATGTCTATATTTGGATAAACATCTTGAAGATTTTGAGAATGCAAAAAAYTGTATATTCCTTGCGCGGAACGAATATCTTTTGTGTTCATTAGAGAATCTTTGAGTTGACAGTGCAAATGAATACATTCATTCGCGAAAGTATCTTCCAAATCRTCAGAATACTTAGTAACTAATTCATCTGCGCGAATTTTTAATTCATTGGTATCTATTTCATACACAGGGTGGCTGATGAATTTCGTTACATTAAGAAACTCAAATAATTTTTTTTCAGTGTATGGAATTCATTTTTCTTTTGTTCATGTTAAAGCTCATTCAATTTTATTAAATATAGCTTAATTAGTTTTAAAAATAATGGAATTTAAATGCCTACCTGATCGTTGATGCATGTGCGACATCTTACCAAAAAGTTGTTAAGCACTGCTTGGAGAGTTGAGACAAGAATAGCCGCAATTGTTTCTCGAATGGATTGCCTTAGTTCATTCAAATTTGTTGGTTTAGCTTTGTATACTTCCTTGCAACAACCCCACAAGAAAAATTCAGGTGCAGTAAGGTCAGGCGACCTGTGTGGCCAACGGAATGTTGAGTTTTTGGATATCAGCTTATTGGGAAATTTTGGTCGCAATTCTCTCATAACATGTACCGCCTTGCTGAAACCACACAGAGTTGAAAGAAATTCTCATTCGGCGAAGTTCTGGATAGAAAAACTCTCTCAACATGCTCACGTAACGGTCTCCAATAACCGTAACGGTGTGACCGTTTTCTTCGAAGAAGTACGGCCCGACTATGCAGCGTGTTGAAACTGCACACCACACTATGACAAGAAGTGGATGTAATTCCGTCTCATGGAGTATCTGTGGCTTCGAAGCACTCCATATTCGACAATTTTGTTTGTTTATGTTGCCGTTTAAATCGGAATGGGCCTCGTCAGACATGAAAAGACAGTTCAACATGTTTCCATCCTCTTCCACCATTTGAAGCATGTTCTGGCAAAATTCCAAGCGAATAATTGATTGTAATGACTGTCTGCTTACACCCATTTGAGCAGATAAGCTTCTTTTCGAAACACGTGGATTGTTTTGTATGGCAGCAGCTACAGCAGCGATTGTTTCATAAGTTCGAACTGAAGGGTTTCGATGGTAAGGTCTTCTGTTGACTGTCCCATGCTCGGCAAAATTGTTTATAAGTCTCATTATGGTTCATCTGCTCGGAGGATTGCCGCCAAACGTGCGTCTATACTCTCTTTGAACCGACACTACGGACTCCAGTGCGTGATAGCGGCGGACAATCCAAATTCTTGTTTCAGTGTCCCAGTTATCCATTTTTTTAAATGTAAAAGTCAATCTGAAAATTAAAAAAAAAATTAACCAGATTCATTAAATAGAAAACAAGTTATTTAATTTTTTTTGGTAGCGGCTTTCATCAGCTACCCTGTAAATTGTAAAAAAAAAAAAAATTTTCGTAAAGATTATGATCAGCACTTTTGCGTCCTGTTAACTGTACACTTAAAGTATCTAAAATTAGATAGTAAACGTTGGTTCGAAATTTTTTTTCTAGAGATAAAGCTGTTCTTTCATTTTCCCGTGACTCTTCAGTCTGAAGTTTTCGGGCTTTTTTACGACGGGTGTCATAGTGGTAATAATTTTCAACTCCAGATAGCCCTTTGTCTTTTTTTATAATCAGAAAAATGTTTATCTCTCATATCTTGGAGAAATAATGCCAACGAGCTATATATTCTTATCTTCTTCATCTTCTTGTTAACAACAGCGCGCCAGTCGTTTCTTCTTTTCGCTACGTGGCGTCAATTAGATATTCCAAGTGAAGCCAGGTCCTTCTCCACTTGGTTCTTCCAACTGAGTGGAGGTCTTCCTCTTCCTCTGCTTCCCCCGGCGGGTACTGCGTCGAATACTTTCAGAGCTGGAGTGTATTCGTCCATCCGGACAACATGACCTAGCCAGCGTAGCCGCTGTCTTTTAATCTGCTGAACTATGTTAATGTCGTCGTATATCTTGTACAGCTCATAGTTCCATCTAACGCGATATTCGCCGTGGCCAACGCGCAAAGAACCATAAATCTTTCGCAGAACTTTTCTCTCGAAAACTCACAACGTCGACTCATCCATTGTTGAAATCGTCCAAGCCTCTGCATCATATAGCAGGACGGGAATTATGAGTGACTTATAGAGTTTGGTTTTTGTTTGTCGAGAGAGGACTTTGCTTCTCAATTGCCTACTCGGTCACCTGTTGGCAAGAGTTATCCTGCGTTGGATTTCTAGGCTGACATTGTTGGTGGTGTTTACGCTGGTTCCAAGATAGACGAAATTATCTAC